CTTATTGGTAAAATGGGGCGACTATTTCGATACACACTCCTGGGTGGAGGGGGGTGTCTCATAGAGAGCCTAAGTCAAACTTAACTCTAAGTTGGAGAGCCATTTGCAGCCTTTTAAAAGATGTATTCAAAAGCAAAAATGCAAGTATTTAAGAATTTTCATAATTTCCACATCAAGAACTTGAAATATCCGTAATAATAGAAAATATGATCGATTTGAATCAAAACGTTATGCTTTTTAAAATAACTTTTTACAAAATATTTCCAAAGATGCTAATGCCTTTTCATAATTGTTAAGTCCAACTAAGGGATAAGTTTAACTTAGCTTTTATGTGAAAAGCATAGTGGAGAAAGCGGGGGTGGAAAACAGGTGTAGTTGCCGCCGGTCCTTTACCCTTCCAAATATAGTAATGAAAGCATATAAAAAGTTTTGCTCTATTATCCAGGGTTCTAAAAGTGGATCTCCAAAATAATACACCCGCCACTGAAGGCCTTTATAAGTCACCCTCTATAGACAAAAATGATGAATACCGCGAATAGGTTCAAATGTTCTTTTACGCTCTGTGGGAAAATTTTATAAATGCACAAACTGCATGATATTGACAGACGATCTACTCAAATGCGATGTTACCATTGTAACCACGTTTGTATTCAAGGACACATTGAAAAGAAAACACTTTTGTGTATGTGTGCCTCGATTGAGGTGTCTATTCACATTCGAGCATCAGTGAAAAATCTAGATTATAGTTGTCTTATGTGAAATTTGCATATGTAAACTAAATATAATTTTGTTGTTACTGTAAGCCTTTTATATCCAAATTAAAATCTCGAAAACCCATCCTCTCCGATTAACTTTCCTTCTTATGACTTAAAGTGCCCGGAAGTCCATTCTAATATTAAGTTGGTTTCAATACAAGCAGAAAAAAGAGAGAAAAAAATTAGTGAAAGCCTAATTAAGCGGTAAGCAACATCCAATCAATCAATCAATTGATCCTTGAGCGAGCGTGCAGTACATACAGTTCTGTTTTAATAACACAGACATTCGACCCCGCCTTAAAATAAAAGGAACATTCCTTTATTAGCTTTTGACACTTGACCAACGGCGTGTGAGAGATATTTGTGAAAAGCAGTCACAACCGCAACAAATGAATAACTGAAGTCTGTAAAAGTATGGAGGAAAGAAAATAAGCTGAACATCTTAATTTCTTTCTTTTTTCTATATATAAGTTTACATAAACAATCTGTGTTCATATCAGTTGCTCCAGTTAAATAATTTATGGTTATAATCATTGGCACACTTTCTTGCTACAAAAAAAAAAGAGGGGTAGGAGAAGCAAAGAAAAAAAGAAACAAGGGTAACATGTACTTTAAAATTATCAAATAGTACACAAAGCGTAAATAATGCTAGTAAAATATGCTATTTTTGCAGGTAACGTTTCTCTTTTTCCACAACCTATAGTAAGCTCTGCCTTTAAACTCTGGTTGGAGGGATGATGATCAATAAACAGAAACAGGGCTTAAAAGGAAACACATCAATATATATATACATGAACATCATATCCAAAATAGCCCTAAATGTCATTAATTCATAATACACCATTGCTTTGCACTGGTTCCAAACTATTTCAAATGAAATAGAAAATAGTAATGTTTTTTTCTTCTTCTTGCAATGTATTATATAGTCATCTCAAATATTTAACTTCCCTGATAACGTGTAACACAGTCTGTTTGTTATATATGTTTAAGGTTTAAGGTTTACACTGAACCGGTTAAATTTATACTTAACCGGTTACACTGCCCAATCATTAGTCAAAAATGAATTTCTATTATTTTTACATAGGTTTATATCAAAACACAAAGTCATAAATATGAACCTAAATATATATATTTCAAAAGCATTCCCCAATCTTTTGTTTAGTCATCAGTCAATCAGATCAGATATCGTAATGCCTCAACTAAACCATTGAGTTATACATACAACCACACAACTTCAACTTATACATTTCAATATATATTTCTTTATGCCACATAATAAATGGGAATAACATCAACTAATTTAACCTTTAACACTCCATTTCCTTTTGAAACAGGATGTACATCCTGTACTTCATCCCGGCAAAAACACTTAAAGGTAAAGACCAGTTTTGGAAACAAACCCCTCTCAAAAAATGAAATCAGGAAGCTCTTACCAATCATGTGAAATAATATGTTTTGACGAAACACCCTCCTCTCAAAAACTGAAACCAGGAGGCTCTTACCAATCATGTGAAAGCATATGTTTGGAAGAACCCCCCCCCCCCCCAACTCTCAAAAAATTAAAAATCAGGAAGCTCTTACCAATCATGTGAAAGAATATGTTTTGACGAAACACCCCCCTCTCAAAAAATGAAACCAGGAAACTCTTACCAATCATGTGAAAGAATATGTTTTAAATAAATACCCCCTCTCAAAAAATGAAATGGAAGCTCTAATTACCAATCATGTGAAAGAATATGTTTTGACTAAACACCCCCCCCCCCCTCTCAAAAAAATGAAATGGAAGCTCTTATTACCAATCATGTGAAAGAATATGTTTTGACTAAACACCCCCCTCTCAAAAAATGAAATGGAAGCTCGTATTACCAATCATGTGAAAGAATATGTTTTGACTAAACACCCCCCCCCCTCTCAAAAATTGAAATGAAAGCTGTTATTACCAATCAAGTGAAAGAATATGTTTTGATTAAACACCCCCCCCCCTCTCAAAAAATGAAATAGAATTCTTATTACCAATCTTGAGAAAGAATATGTTTTTACTAAACACCCCCCTCTCAAAATATGAAATGGATGCTCTTATTACCAATCATGTATGTGAAAGAATATGTTTTGACTAAACACCTCCCTCTCAAAAAATGAAATGGCAAAAAGTATGCATCAAAGCGAGCCATTTATGCATCAATTTAAAAAAAAATCTTCCACTTCTTAGGGGGGCACATCCTCCCTCAGACACCTCCCTGCGTTTTTTTGTCTTCTGTTAGTTAAACTTAAGACTGTTTTCTTTTTAATTTGGCAGAAAGTATTCACTAAAGTGAGCCATTTATGCATCAATTTAGAATAAATCTTCAACTTCGGAGGGGGGGGGGGGCATCCACCCTCAGACACCCCCTGCGTTCTTTTTTCCTGTTAGTTGAACTCAAGACTGTTTTCTTTTTAGTTTGGCAGAAAGTATTCACCAAGGCAAGCCATTTATGCATCAATTTAGAATAAATCTTCAACTTCGGAGGGGGGGGGGGATCCACCCTCAGACACCCCCTGCGTTGTTTTTCCTGTTAGTTGAACTCAAGACTGTTTTCTTTTTAATTTGGCAAAAAGTATGCACCAAATCGAGCTATTTATGCATCAATTTAAAACAAAAAAATCAACTTCGAAGGGGGAACATCAGCCCTCAGACATCCCCTGCGTGGCGCGCCCATTCGCCCCCCCCCCTAACAAAATCACCTGGTGTCGCCCCTGGATTTAAACACCAATACAAATGAATAAAAACATACCTTAAGTCACAGAGATACATGAGACATATTGCTCTCACTGGCATCCTGTGCAAATCAAACATACATTCATAAAAACTTATGTTGCTTAGCACATAATCTACAGAAATTACAGAAGATTACTGTCTTTTTGTTGAATACCTGAAATAATCCAAACAGAGCGGTTAAACTTTTGAAACCTCTACAGATTAAGATGAGTTCTGGGGTGTTTCACAAAGATTCGAAGTCAAACTTAACTGTAAGTTGGACTTAAATATAATGGAGAGCCATTTGTAGCCTTTTTTTAAATATATTCAAAAGCCAAAATTCAAATATTTTAGACTTTTCATAAATTCCACATCAAGAACATGAAATTTCCCATGATAATAGAAAATATAAATGATTTGAATCAACGTTTTATGCCTTTTAAAATGATTTTTACAAAATATTTTCATAAAAGTCCAACTTGGAGATAATTTCAACTTAGAATCTTTGTGAAACACGCCCCCCCCCCCCTAGTCATTCAAATTTAACTGCATGACATGTACGAGAGAAACTGTCCCGAATCGATTGAAACTGTCTATGAAGTTATCGGGAAATGTTGGTTATGTCGTATATAGGACTATTTGTTTAGGCCAAACTTTGTTGCCCTTTTGTGAGATTTTGGGATCATTAAAATGATAACACAATGATATCAATCTTGCTGGAGAAAAAAACCGGTGAAAACCATTGGACACAGATATATGATTTCAGCACTGTTTCGGAACTTTTCTTTAATTTCTTTTTAAACAACCCATTCACTTTACAATAAAAATACTTTTATCTTAAAATGCACTTTCACAAACGGAACTCTTATGATTACTTTTAATACATTATCATTTCAAAATAATCATATTTCCGTGCAATATGCCTTACATATTATAATTGATATTATTTTCTCATTATCAGCTCTTGATACATACACGATTCACATTAGTATGGTTATGAGCCTAAATTATGACTTATTTTTATAAGAGAGGAAGTGGTGAAATATTTGTTCAGGCTAATGTTGCATTGTAATAAGTGTACCCTCGTACGATTCCATACGTGTACAAATTAAGAGAAATTTGGACAGTGAAAGGGAAGAGAATCAGAGAAATGGAAGGAGAAAAAGGAAGAGTAGTATAGAAAGAAGTGGTGACATTATGTGGTTACCATCTTTTATCCTTCCCCAAAAAATGATAAAAGCAAATAAAACGTCTTGCTCTTTTACCTAGGGCTCTACTTAAGTGAATCTCCAACACAATATATCCACAATTAAAATGTTAACAAGTCGCCCTCTATAGATAAAAAGGATGAAATTCAGTTCAAATGTGTTTCATAGCTGCGCGCGCATTCTATGTGGGAAAACCCGATTCTATTTATAGGATGCACAAACTATATTATTTTCACAGGCAATATACCTAAGTGTGAGTTTAGCATTGTAATCGCATATGTATTGATCATGTATACACTTGAATAGAGACTCAACGTGAGAAGTGGGTACATTTTCTGCATGCAGTTAGGACATACTTGTTTCGTACAACCAAGATATTGGTACAATTACAGTAGGTCCATGGTACAATATTGTTTGTGCTTGCATGACTTGACTGTTGGCTTTCATTACACATTAGCCGATCACACTGTTAAGCTTTATTTGACATTGAATATATTTGTCGTGTTTAAAGTAATAGCCAGAAATCCGATATTTGCACCAATGGCTGAGAAGGCTGAGGAAGAGAAAGCTCCAAGCTCTCCAGAGAACCTGACGTGTCCACTGTGCCTTGATATCTTCGACGGGGCAACAATCCTGACTTCATGCGGTCACACCTTCTGTCGGAAATGTCTCAAGAACTATGACCTTTCCCACCTGGATCTCGATCACATGATCTGTCCTCTCTGCAGGAATATCACCAAGTTGACTGCGAACCGTGTCGATGATTTCCTCACCAATGTGACGGTCAACGGACTTGTAGACGATTATCACGCCAAGTGTGGAGGGATGGATGCTGCCCAAGAGATGCGTCCAAAATGCACTGCATGCAAGTTTCAGCGAGATGCTGTATCATTCTGCAGAACGTGTAGTAACTACATGTGTGAAAAGTGTTTGGATTGTCATCAAAAGTTGACAGTCGTCTTTGAAGGTCACGAGATTGTATCCATACAGGATATCATCAACGGGAAGGTCAGCGTTGGTCATCTATCTGAGAAGTGCTGCATCCACAAACAAGAGAACAAAGATATGTTTTGTGAGGAATGTAAGGTCCACGTCTGTCTCAAGTGTGTGATCGTCGGTCATCAAAATCACAAAATCAAGAATCAGACTGATTTCGAGCAGGAGTTACGGCTTAAGGTAACGTGGTTTCACTTGAGGTACCCCTTAGGGGGGGGGGCGCATCCTTGCCGGAAGAAAAACGTTTGACATCATTAATTTCGCTTTATAAAAATTAAAATGAGGTTCTAAAAAAACAGTGTCACCATTCCAAATTCTAAAATTGTCTCTCTGTCGCTCCGCTAAATCGTACAATAATAGACGTACCCCTTTTCCAGAAGCATCAAAGCGAGGAGGCTGATTAATGTTTCCTATCAAAGTGGAAGCTAAATTAAATCCGCCGTATATCGATTAGTTTTTGATAATTCTGAATAGATTTTAAAATGCCTGTTTTCAGTAATCGATATTGACTCCCTCAATGTAGCTTCACGTGAGAGAAAGGACAAATCTAGGAAATGGCATGAACTAGTTATGATGTATAACAATGGATAGTAGTATGCTGTAGCTATAAAATACAAGAATGCTCTACGCCAAAGCCCGATAAACGGGGACCAGGTAATTCCCTCAACGGCGTGCTAGACAATTTTGCACAATTGCATTTGAATATATTACAGAATATGAAAGCCTTTTAAGTGCTTTAAAATACGGAATCAACTTTATAAAACGCTATCTTTTTCCTCGAGGTCACTAGGCCTCCTCGCATTTCAATAGCTGGAATATTTCTAATCATTGAACAAGCTCTGTCGACTATATATGGTCTTGAAGCGGGTAGAACGAAAAAAAATGATGCATCTCTCTAGTAAAGAGGGTGGGACAACACTTTGCCACCCCTCTCACAAGACATGAAGCTCTTGCTGTTGCTCGCATGTAAATCATTAGTTTGAAGGAGGCTGGGATTTTTCGTGACGTTTCAACCTATACTTGATATCACTTTTCAATTTCACAGAAACAATCGTTTCGCTCGGTCGCTACACTTCCTCACGTAATAATTATCTCTCTGTCGAGCTATATGATCATTAATATTATAGAAACACTTCTTTATGAGGTAAATGTATGTTATGTCATTATAACAAAATAGAACTTTACGTATGCTTCAATATGCAATTCCTAAATATGTTTCTGTGTTTCTAAACATACGCGTACGAAAGCTACATTCCGAACCAATACTACGAAAAAGACGAATTCAATGTATTGTTCTCGTTCTTTTTTTGAAAAGTCAAAACACTGTCCTTTATATAAAATATCAAGAAACATAAGATTGAAAAGAGAAATTGTGTTTGTCGCTTAGGAGGGGGGGGGGGCGATTTTGAAGGTAGTTAGCGTATAGCTACATTTTACAGCTACACATTAGTAAAAAATCCTTGTAAATAATCCAGAGTGTCGCTGAGAAGGGGGAGGGAATTTGCTTTTTGGTTTGCTTTTTAATGGGTGAAAGGGCAACCTGCCCAGATTATCCAGATATTACTTCGTAGCCTTTTTAGGAACTGAAAATTGAAATCCTCGAAAATCATATAGATAAAGCTATGAAGCCAAGGAACCATTATTACATATTTGTGCCAAAGGGCTCATAGCAATTGTTATCTTTTGTAAGCACTTTGCATCAAAATAACAATACAGATATATTTGTCTTTGTCTATTATTATGATGACGATGCTGATTATAATAATAATTAATAATAATAATAAGAAGAAGAAGAATGGTAATTATGATAATAATAATAGTAACAACGTTGATAACAATCATCATCATTGTCATCGCCATCACCATGATTGGCTAAAAAGAAGTAGTATCAACATTCTTCTTATTAACATTATTATGTTTTTATTATTGTAATCATATATGTATTATTATCATTTATCATTATTACAATAATGACGATGATTATTATCAGTACAATAATTACTATTAATAGCTCTGTGTATCTAATATTAATGCATTTTAAGAAATGGACTTATTTGGTTGGATTGCATTTTTATAATGTATGATGGAGGGTCGTGGTTCTAACTTGTGTGAAACATTAGGCGCGCGCAAAGTCCGGTTCCATGTAATTAGCATACATCTCAATCTACAACATGTTCTTTTCATTTCTCTTTTATTTAGGTGAACGACCTAGTCGAGCGTTGTGCCACCATGAAATCAGAACTGGAGAAGAACATTCAGAATGTGGAAGTACAACGCCATGAAGTATACACTGCAGTGCAGAGATTACTAGACGATGTCGGTCAAGCCTACAGCATCAAGGCCAAAAAGCTTAAAGAAAATCATCGAAATCTCATCGAGCGCATCAATGCAGTAAAGCGGAGTTTCGATGACGACCTCAACATCTTGAAATCCAACGATCTAAAGAGAATCAAGAGTATTTGTAGTTCAATTACACTGGTAGATAATGACAGACTGGGTCATCTTGAGACAGACAGTCTGTATGCTCATACCTTGCTCTGTGAAGAGCTGGATGCCATGCTGAAGAAGGCTACTGATCGCACTTCTGCGGCAGCCATTAAGAAGAAAGCACAGGAGAAGAGGTTCAAGCCTGCAGATGATACCCATCTTGACCTCGGGAGCATCTCAGAATCAACTACTGATCGCACTTCTGCTGCAACCATTGCGAAGAAAGCACATGAGAAGACGTCTAAGCCTGCATGTGTTACTCATCTGGGCATCGGGAGCATCTCAAAATCAGTTCCCAAATTGCAAGTCATTCGGTGTGTTGGACTACGGGGATCGATGTGGGGTATGACCCCGTACTCTGACGACAGTGTAGCTATCGGATATTATGGTCAACATCATGGTATAGATATCATTGATTCAGCTGGTAAACAGGAGCAGTATGCAAACATACCAAGTAACATGACGTGTTATGATCTTGTGTTTCAACAAGACAGGTCGCTATGCATATCGACGGGTATTACTAAAGCACACATATATTCTCGAAATGGATCCAGGAAATCAAACATCCACATGAAAGGCAGATCTCTCAAACTAAACAGAAGTCCATCAGATGATTTCCTCATCTCTAACAGTGCGTACCAAGTCTATATCTATGACCCGACTGGATCCACTCTCAAACACACTGTTCCAACAAAACAAATTGTAAGTCAGGTATCTTCTACCAGGTCGGGTTTGATTGTCACGAGTTCATGTTACAATCCAAACGTGGTGACGGTCTATGACAGGGAAGGGAATGCTGGTAAGTCTCTACAAGCTCCACCCAATGTCGGCATGTATGCTGCCGTGGATGAGCAGGACAGGGTGTATTTAGCAAGTGTTAAGAATGGTAACGTGGTGATCAGGCTCTATGAACTTGAAGGTCTGAACCTGAAGGAGACAGTTGAGTTCAATGTACTTAATCTGAAGCTTAGTCATGGTTGGTGTTACTTGGTTTCCCTCTCCTCAGACATGCTTGCGTTTGCTTGTGACAACAAGTTGTATTGTATCAAGGTATCACTGTAATCCATGTCACACTTATCTATTACCATCATTGCTCGTGTGTATACCTCTCTGTTCCAGCTCTACTCTAATATGGGTCTGTAATGTGTCATATTCTTTTGTTTATAATCTGATAAATAAACGAATGAGGAGATGTCCATTCTCTCGATATTATTTAGTTGCCTCCGTACAGTTGAAATTATCCAATATGATATAATAACGTCCCTTTTTCGAAAGTATATGTTAATGAGTATACTGTATACTTCTTGCGCTGTGTTATTGTTTTCTCTTTGAAATTTAAACAGATGATTGTTACTGCAAAATCAAAGAATAACAACGACTACAGACGTACTGTTAACAGTTTTTCGTTTTGGGTCATCGTTTTTGCGATTTACTCTAATGAGTACAAGATGAAAACCTTTCGTTGCTTTAATCTTTGGTTCATAGTCAAGTTGTTTGTGTGTTTTATGAGAAAGCACATACTGACTGAATATTTTGTACTTTAGAGCAAAAGGTATTTTTTGGAACGTCTGGTATCAATATTCCCTCATCTCTTTTCCTATACTATTGTATCGTAATAACAAAATTTAATGCTACTTAAAAGCAATTAAAAACTTTACAAACTTTGAAGTTGAATTTAAGAGTCACCTACCACTTGAGACGCATGAAATAGGTGCAAGTGATATAATATCATTATGTGTATCTTGAAAATTGATAAAAAAATATTGATTAACTTCTTTTAAGTGTTATATTCCTTATATTGTCATTCTTAAAATATTTACAAGTTTATTTTGTTAGGTATTTATGTTTCTTAGTTTTTATTGAAATTATCTTGAATATTGAAATGAAGTAACAATTAAAACTGACTTTGTTATTAGGGCCCCATAGTAACTGAGCTTTTTAAGCTTTCATGGGTCATCCTGTCAGATCATTGGTATTATTGTTTTGTTTTGTTTTCATTTCATAATATCATTTTACTCTTCGCAGTTATGCTATATTGAACCTAATTAATACATGAAATCAAATTTAATTTAAAGCCTTACAGGAACATGGTGTAAATATTGCTGCATTCCATTAAAAATTCCTTTGTATTCAGTTTGTACCCTGTCTGGAAAGCCATAACATTGAATCTTTTGGGGGCTGATAATATTAAAGATTGGTTTGCTATGATGTAGAGAAGAACAATGTACAATGTATTAACCAAAATTAGGTCTAATTTAACAGTCGGAAGTTCTGTGTCTTGACTAAACATCTTAAGGAATATTAGAGTATTATGAGATCTTTGTAGAATTTTACTGCAATTCTGTTATATTTAGTGATTTCACTATGAATATTTCATGTCGATTCGGCAGTTGTCTTTAAAAAAAAATTAATAATCATTTCAATTCGATTCCGTTTAGTCAAATTCGATTCAAGTCAATTAAATCTATGCAGATTATTGATTTGTGACGTGGAATTTGAAATATCTTTATCCGCATTATATAAGGGTAAAAAGAGAATGGGGTAGGAGAATTTTGGTAATCATATTGTAGAAATGATGATAATATCAAACACCTAAATCTGTTCATGCTTAGTAGACATGCATGGCAAACCCAGGTATGAGATTGGGGAAAACATCAGTTTAATGTTTCCCCACCATAAAAACGACACCCAGATGATTATGTTTGTAAGTACAGTAGATGACAAGACAAACTTCCATGCATAAACGATCTAGCTTCGGGAACAACTGCTCCCCCTCCCCTCCCCCCCCCCCCCCCCCCCGTTTTATAAATCTGTTCTTCTTTTCATTTTGTTTTCAAAGTCGGGGGGGGGGATGTGATAACCATATCTATTGTGTTACTTTATGTTTTTGGTGTAGAAAGAAAGTCAATTATTTTGGGTAAAATGGGGCGACTAATTCGATACACACTCCTGGTCTTCCTGTTTTGTAAACAGTTGTAAAGTACCTTATACTCATGTCTCCCATTTCGTATTTTCCTCATTTTTTTATTTTTAAAATTAGAAAACATTTTATAGTAAGTATGTATACGCTGAAAACCTAGCCTATAACTTAATGTACATTATCTCGTTTCCTGCATACAATATTGTTGATTGACACTGAAAAAGTCCTTACATGGTTGACAGAGAAAGAGGAAGAGAAAGAGATAAACGAACGGAGATAAAGGAAGGATAGTCGGAGTAATAGGGAGTGAAAAATAAGTGTAGTTACCGCCCTATACTCTTCCAAATATACTAATGAAAGCAAATAAAACGTCTTGCTCTATTATCCTGGATTATAACAAAGTGGATCTCCAAAATAATAATATTTCCACCACTGAAAGCCTAAATAAGTCACCCTCTAAAGACAAAAATTATGAATACAGCCAATAAGTTCAAAGGTGCTTTTACGCTCTGTGGGAAAACCCACTACTATTTATAAATGCGCAAACTGCATGATATTGACAGACGATCTACTCAAGTGTGATTTTCCCATTGTAACCACGTTTGTATTCAAGGACACAATTGAAAAGAGAATACTTTTTTGTTTGTGCATCGATTGAGGTGTCTATTCACATTCGAGCGTCAAAATAGAGTTGTAAAAGGAAATATACATACTATACAAGTACATTTAGTTATCACTACAAACCACATATTTTCTCGACTGTACGATATTTTGCTGCTTACCATTTAGAGTGCTTTAAACGATTGTTCTGCCAATTTTTGTCTGGCTTCTTAGCTCTTGGTTTACGATGGGACTGTTATCGTTATTTCTCTTTCAAATACCTATCATACCTATTCCGGAAGACTAACATTTCATATGTACACCAGAATGCGATAGTTATTGCAACGTTCCACTGAAAACTAATCCCGACTTTAGAAGAAGAAAAAAATCTTTAGTCTTTGTGTCCAAATTAATGTAGTCAGTTTGGTGCATGATGCGGTGACCCAATATAACCGAATTGCATTCCCTTTTGTTTCGGGGACCAAACCCGAGGACAATGTCCAGGTTGATATGTTTTTCGTAGATGGCATGGATGGTCTAAGCATCTTTGTTCGGTCAATTCTTATGAGTAAAATGGGACGACTATTTCGGGTCAGTTTACTGGCTCGTGTACTTTTCTTTGCACACAGTTTTGTCAAGTACCTTTAAAGGGAAATCTAACCCTGGTATCAAGTTTGAAACCACTCTAGAGAAAAGAAGAAAAATCTGAGAAGAAGACTGGTGAAATTTTTAATGAAATTGGACAAAAATTAGTAAGCTATGAATTTTGAAAGTTGAAATCACTATAGATATTATGGGCTCTTCAAATTGGCTGAATCGGTAATGTCTCTACAAATTAGTGGCGGGCAACTTTCCAATATGTTCCAAACTTCCAACACACAAAATATCAACAACAACGAACCAAAATAAAAAGACCCAGGAAGGTCTTTTCTCTTTAATTTTAAGAGAACCAATAACAATATGATATCCATAATATATTTTGAGTAGTGCCGCAAGGGAGAAGGCGCTTATGCGAACAAGAGAAATATAATAAAACGGGAGAGTTATATGTCACAATCCACTGACTAATCTGCCAATTTGAAATGAACATAGACTTTATAGTGATCTCTTATTTTAACACAACGTTCTTATAACTATATTGTTCAGATTTATTTTAGACTTTCGCCATTCTGTTTATCGTATTTTTAATTTTCCTCTTTGTTCTGCTTTTTTAAACTTAGAAAATAGTTATAACAGGTATGTATATACGCTGTAAATGTGATATATTACATTCATATTTTCATTTTTCTATTTACTAGTAAAAGATCTAGATTATACTTGTCTTAAGTGATAGTTGCATATGTAAATTAAGTATCCTTTTCTTGTTACTTTAAGCCTATTATATCAAAATTAAATTCTCGAAAACCCATCCTCTCCGATTAACTTGTCCTCTCTTAACTTAAAGTGGAAGTCAACTCTGATATTAAGATGGTTCTAATAAAAGCAGAGAAAAGAGAGAAACAAATAAGTGAAAGTCTAGTTAATTGAAAGTTTAAATAAACAACATCCAAATGAATAAAAGGAAAGTTATGACATGTTTAAATTATCATCAGTGAAACACAAATTGGCAACACTGTGACGTATCTTGCGGGGGTACATCTCGTCTTCATCTCTCCGTCTCGGCTCTCTCTTTCTCTCTTTTTCTCTCTCTCTCTCTCTCTCTCCCTATTTCTCTCTCTCTCTCTCCCTCTCTCTTTCCAACTCTTCCTCGATCACAAAATCAAGAGAAGTGTTACATAAAGGAGTGAAAGGTAATTTGGTGTCGGACAAGGACAGTTGAGTACCGAAAGGAAATCGTGTTGAAAGTTTATTCAGTGCATACATATATATATCTTTAAATTGACCACTGCAGTAAGCTATACTGACAAGTGACAACCCCCCCCCCCCCCCCCAGAAAAGAAAAGAAAACAATAATAATAAAATCAATTGACGAACAATCTGTACACATCTGTCGCTCCAGCTAAAGAATGTATGGTTATAATCACTGGCACACTTTCTTGCTAGAAAAAAAGAAAGGTAAAGAAGAAAGAGAGAAAAAAGAAAAAAAGTGTAACATGTACTTAAAAAATATCAAGCTGTACACAAAGCGTAAATAATGCGCTAGTAAATACACTTATTTTCGCAGGTAACGACTCGTACGTTTCTCTCTTTCCACGACCTACAGGCATAGGCGCCGGAAGTGGGGAGGGGGGGGAGGGGCAGGGGGCAGTTGCCCCCCAACCAAAAAAGTGGGGGGGGGGGCAAAACGCATTTTTGCCCCCCCCCCCCCCCTCAACAAAATAAGCAGTAAAGGAGTAAAGATGGTTTGTATTTTTAACCCAAAAGAACATAACAATAATAAAAACCTGAATTAAATGACGTATACAATTCCATTCAAAGGAAAGGAAAGTTAAGAGGAATACAATTTCCTAAACATTGCGCATGCTACCTATATTTATCAATGGAGGTTTTTATAATAGCGATACGCGCATATCGTGGACATATTGTGAGAGAATAGGAAAGCGTGTCTGTTTTTTGTTATAGGGGTGAGAAGCTCATGAGCCTCTGAACGCTTGCGTACCGATATAAGTGATTTACAAATGTTGCTGAAATGACATGATTTTCCGGTATTTGTTCTCAATTTTTGGGTAAGTCGTACCTTTTTATGCTTTGTTGGAAAATTAGAAATTCCCAAATTTACAGTCGGGCGAAAATATGCTTATTTAGAAGCCTCTATGTCAGGGTCTGCAGAACGGCCGGGCTCGGGGGCTCGAGCCCCCCTCACTTTTTGAAAAAGTTTGTTACAGAGAAAAAGAAAGAAAGAGAAAGAGAAAAAATATGTGACCTGCCAATGTCACAAATGAGGTATCAAAATATGCTCATCAGACCGTAAATAAATGCCTAAAACCCCAGAGCTTTTGAGGGCTTTGCCCCCTGGACCCCACCAAGGGCCCTAAGGCGGCGCCCTGGATGCTCATCTGACCGTTATTAAATACC